GGGGGGGGGGGACTCCCTTGGGCTTGCGGGTGAGCTGTCTTCAGCACGCACCCCCCCTGTCTAGGAATCCACCCTGAGTGATGACTCCACACCCCCCAGCAGCAGCCCCAAGATCCCCAGTGGTCCCCGGCAGGAGACCAAGTGTTCCTACCCCTACCACACGCTGTCCCAATCTTCGGATGAGGTGAGTAAGCCCTGACCTCGGAGCGTCAGGTGTTCGGGCCACAGGCCGGGTCACCCCTCCTCACTGTCCTTGGTCTCCACCCCAGTTCCTGGACGAACCTCTCCCCACTGTCCACCACTGGACCAGTCAGCAGGTGGGCCAGTGGCTGCACAGCCTCAACCTGGAGCAGTATGCCGCTGAGTTCGCCGCGCGGCAGGTGGATGGGCCCCAGCTCCTGCAGCTGGATGGAAGCAAACTGAAGGTGGGTCAGAGGAGAAGAGCCGTGATCCAGCGGGAGCCCGAGGCAACCTTCCGGGATCGGGATCCCCTCACCCTGACCTTTCCTTGCACTTCCTTCGAGGCCATTCCCTGACCTCTGACCTCTGGGCAAGGTCCATGGCCTGATCTCTGGACTCTAGCATGGGTCCCCAGTCTGCCTCGAAACTCAAGCGCAGGTCTTCAGTTTGACCTTCAAGCTCCAGCCCCAGTCTCCAGGTTGACCTTGACCTCCACGACTATCGTTATCACCTGACTCTTGATTCCGAGTCTCCTGGTGTCCTAAGAAACCAGGCCTCTCCCTGATCACCTTGACTGATTCTCAGTCTTGGAAGGTGCTGGTAGTCAGGGGAGGTCAGGGGGCGCACCTCGGATCTTTGTGCTGGGAGGTTTCTGGCCTGTTCCCCACCCTCTGTTACACTGCTTGGGGAAGGGGTGGTGAGGAGAGTCCCCAGGGAGTCTGAGTGGGGAGGGGCCTCGGCTACTTACTAGCTGTGTGACCTTGGGCACATCACCTGCTCTCTGTGGGCCCCAGGGGTGCTGGGGTCGTGCCACGGCTGAAATCCAGAGTGGCGGAACGGGGGCTGAGGATTGCCAGGGGTGGGGGCAGGGGCTAAGGGTCTGGAGAGATCCTCCACGGCATCTTTTCCAAAGGCTCCCCTTCCGAATTCTTGCCCTGCGGGGTCTGGTCCACAGGCAAGTCTGGGGGGTGGAAGAGAGCTTACGCCTGGGGCACAGAGAACCTGGGGCTCGGGTTGGCCAGGGCTCCGGGCGGTTCTGGGGCTCGTTCCCTCACCCTTGAATTCCTCCCCCAGAGCCTGGGGCTCAGCAACTCGCATGACCGGGCGCTAGTGAAGCGGAAGGTGAAGGAGCTGGCAGCGGCCGCTGAGAAGGAGCGCAAGGCCCAGGAGAAGGCCGCACGGCAGCGCGAGAAACTCCGGCGCAGGGAGCAGGAGGCCAAGAAAAGCTAGGGGAGGGCGAGGGGCAGGCACCGGCACCCAGGCGCTGGCGGCCGCCGGGCTCGGTGGGCACAGGCCTCAGCGAGAAGGCGGGGCCTGGGCGCCAAGCTTGGGCTGGCCTGGCCCCACACTCTCAGGGGGGGTACGTGCCCTCTCCCACCCTGTCACTCGGTCTGGACCCAGATCCCCCAGAAAGGGAGACCCCAGGAGAGGGCCCGGTGATAAATCCAATTTTAAGGACGTTTGGCACGGAGTCCCTAGGGGAGCTGGCAGGTTATGGGCAGAGGGCAGAGAGGCCAGGGCTGAACAGGTCTGGGAGCCCTGAGGCACCTGGGTCAAGTCTGACCCTCTGCCCTCAGGCCACGGCGGTGCTGGCCGGCAGTGAGCTGGGACACCTGCCTGGCCTGCCTGCCTGCCTTCTAGAGGCCCTGAGATGGGGCCAGGGTCCCAGGGCTGAGGGAGGTAGGAAGCACCTCAGCAGGAGTGGGTGGATAGAGCTCTCCGAGGTGGCGGTGTGCTGGGAGAGCTCCGTGCTCCCCAGGGAGGCCGGGAGGTGCTGCAGCAAGTTGCACTCAGGGTAGACTCCCGGTCTACACTCCTGAACGGGAGCGCGGAGAAAGCGGCATGGTCATCCCACGCGATCTTTGCAAGGACCTTAGGGGCAGGAAGGGAGGATGAAAACCTCCCCTTCCCCTTCCCTGTCCTGTGGGTCCCAGTGGTGAGATGACAGCCATACAGATCTGTCCCTCTGGGGCCCATTCAAGGCCTGGTCTTTGACCTGCTCTCTAACACAGGGCACATGTCTGTTGCTCCCTCAGAGGACACCTGAGACCTCTCTGGGGACAGGGCAAACTTGGGAGCTGGGGGGGGGGGGACAGGATACCCCCAACCAGTGCCTAGGTGGTACTGAACAGGTGAACCCTCACGCTAGCTGGGTAGAGAGGCACCATCTAGGAGTCCCCCCGCAATCTCTTGGAAGGGTTCGTCAACTCTCCCCCATCTGCTCTGGTTCCTGTCTGGGCCTCAGTGGGTTCCAGAAACCGGCAGGCAGTGCAGGCTCTGGGTCGCTGGGCCACAAGGAAGGGTGGGGCCAGCCCCCTGGGTAGGGGCGGGATCTATTCCGGCGGCCCAGGGATGACCTCTATCTGTTCTTGGAAGGAGGGGGCTTTCAGACGGTCCCCTGTCCTCAGCAGCACTGGCCGGCAGCTGGCCCAGCTTCTGGAGGATTGGCCAGTTATCAGTGGGGCTGGGGGGGGGGCTCTGATTACAAGTCCCCCTCCACCTCCCCCTGCCTGGAGTGGCGGACAGGACCCAATGCATGCCAACACCCCTCATTCCTGCTCAGGGGCTCAGGCTTCAAGGCCACCCCTGCTATGGCCAGGGTCCTGTCCGTGGGACTCAGCCCTTTGCTCCTCTCTGCTGTCTGTGCTGGGAGAGGGGCTTCAGAGGAAACTGAGGTATGGGGGCACTGGCACCATCTGCGCCTGTTGGAGGGGCTGGTGGGGAGGGTGGAAGGCACCCAGGCCTTTGAAGCTATCAGGAGCTATGTGGGTGCCCACCTGCATGTGAAGGGGGGGGTGGTACTCAATTTATTTCAATAAACACTTATGATGTGCCAGTGACCTTTGTCTGCCCCAGGTGGGAAGCTGGGCTGGGTTGCGAGGCTGCGCTGGGCCCTGAGGGTGGTGGGGTGTCAGCAGGTGCTGTACTGTCGGGCGTTCTGAACGGATGGCTTTGCCTGGTGCTGTGCTCGTGGTAGACACTGAGTCATGCCCTGGGCTGGGTGTCCTGGGCGCGTCATACGGTAGTCACAGGGACCGCAGTCTGCGTGTGTTGTTTATGCATGTGGATCTCCTTCCCCCCCGCCCAGGAAAGCAGCCAGGACACGGTCTCATTCAATCTCCTCTTTACTGTGGATGTCACGGTCATCATCACAGCCACTAGGAGGAACACACAACTTTAACCCCCTGTGTGCTAAGGGGAAGGGTGGGGGCTTTCAGGGCTATAAAACTAGCTATGCACATAGAGCATTCTAGGGAGAAAGCCACCCCAAGCACCTGCGTGTCCAGGCACAGTGGGAGGTGGGGTCTGGAGCTCAGGTGGAACCGTGTGGGTGTGGGGCCGGCAGGTGGGTGTGTGCATGTGAGGACATGCCAGGGGAGGGCTTGGGAGGTGCCTGAGGGGCTCTGAGAAACTTGGCTGAGGGCAGCTGATCTCTGGGGCCTCCCAGGGTCTCCCACTTTAAGGGTGAGCCCTGGGTGAGAACTCCCGCCTCCTAACCTTGACCTTCAAAGCTCCGGGTGGAGGGAGGCGCTGTCGGACCAGGTCCCCAGCCAGGGGCCCAAGGGTGCAACCCCCTTTCTCCACCCGGGGACGCCCGGCTCCTTCCTAATGCTGACACTGGACGAGGGCCAGGGTGCCTGCACGGGCTGGGGGAGGAGGAGAAGGCAAGCAGGGTGTCCACTTGGAAGGTCAGGGCCGTGGAGGGCAGTGAGGGGGACCCAGGACCCCTGGCAGCAAAGTGGCAGCCCTCGTCTCAGAAGGAGGACGGCCATGGAAACATAGCTCTGGGACACCCCATCGGGATGGAGACAGTCCCCTGTCCTCAGGCATCGCCCACCGAGCCTGAATACCAGGGAGACTACTTAGGGGTCTCCGTGGAGACAGAGATTGGCACTTAGGGGCCCCCCACGGACTGGTCACCATGATTTCCACAGAGACAGAAGCTGGTCATCAGGGGGAGCCTCCCCCCCACCTGGGGGGGGGCTGGGGAGGGTCACCGTGGTGGCCAGTCCCAGAGACAGCAGTCCATCCTCTCAGGTGCAGCGGAGCGAGGCGGCCCCTAGCTGACACGGTAGGTGGACGTGTTCTTGGGCTCCGTGCTGGGCACACACCAGTCGCCCGCCTCCTGGATGGTCTGGTAGTGACGCCAGGCTGACTTGTTGTAGACGGGCAGGCGTTCCACGGAGTCCGTGGACAGGGCCTGGAGAGCACTAGGGTCAGCTCGTCCCGCTTCCCAGCGCCTCACCCACTCCTCAGGAGATCGCCCTTTCCCCCCGGGTGGGTTGTGGTGGCCTCTGAACATGACCATGTCTAAGTCAGCCCAGCCAGGTGCCAGACACTGGCTGAGACAACTGACCCTGGCCCACAAAGACCCACGAAAGGACCTGTCCCTTCTGTGCCTTGCTCCTGCCCATCCAGGGAGGCTGCTCACTGAAAGGGTCAGGGAGGCAGAGGGAGGGTAGGCTGTGACCTTGAACAGGGTCACGGACGCTGGGCCTCAGTCTCTTCCTGAGCTGAATGAAAGTTCTCTATGGTACACCCCTTCCTCCTGGGTATAAGAAGTCAAAGGCCCCCAGAACAGGGGTCTTGGTCATAGACCGTGGACTTCCTTAAATTGCCTGCCGGGTTGGGAATGCCTGGGGGTTGGGGAACTATAGCTTTGCTCTGATTCTCGGTCTGGAATGGGGAGAGGACTGGGGGGATGGAGAAGAAACCCAACAGCAGGCCGACACGCCAGGAAACCCCCACAGGCTGGGCCCTGCGGTCTCGGAGCCTCACCTTGAGGTAGATGACAGCATCGGTCCCAAAGCCCTCCATGGAGAAGAGCTGCAGGTCTCCCTGGAAGTACTTGGCATAGAGGCGGGAAATGGGGAGCCCGTACCCGAAGCCAGCCTACAAGGGGGCAGCAAGGGAGCGTGATGTGGAGGCTGGTGCTGGGCCTCCTGGAGTTGCAGGGACCCAATGTGCCGAGTTGGGGTTAGGGCCAGGGGATTCCCAGGATCCCCCAGGGGTGAGGGAAATGGGTCTGGTGGAGCCAGAAAGGCTGAGCCGTCTCAGCTGGGGTTGGTAGGAAGCAGGGGAGGCAGAGGAGCTTGGCCCTGGGAGCCAGTGGGTCTGGACAGGTCCAGGGGCTCCCGTTCCCACACCTCCTGCTCTGCTGGGAAGGCAGGGAGGTGCTGGAGAGTGAACAAAGCAGAGGGAGAGGCAGTAACTTCGTGGGGCCCTAGTGTGAGAGGGAGAGTTGAGGAAAGGTGACAGACAGATACCTGCAGGTCAGGTCAGAAGGCAGCCACAGGCTGGGGGGAGTGGGAGAGGTGCCCTCCCCTGCCCCCCAACCCCCCAGACTGGGAAAGGTGACTGACACCACACACAGCCATACAAGAACAAAGACCACGGGAATCGAGGAGGCAAGTGATGGGGACAGTGACTGTTTGATGAGGTGAAAAGACAGGCATCCTTTAGGAGGTGGGGGCGGGGGGGACTGGAGAGAAGCCGTCTCACCAGCGGGGTCCCTCCAGTGCCTGGCTGGGGGGTGGGGGCTGTGGAATACATGTAGCTGAAGAGTCGCTCGATCTTCCTCAGGGGGACTCCCCCACCCCGGTCACTCATCTGAGGGAGACGGATATGTCGTCAGTGCTCACGCCACCCACACCCTGACACCCCTGACCCTCTCTTGGTCGTCCCCATCCCCAGGGTCTTCTCTGAGCCCATCTCATGGTGGGAGGGAAGTTCCCACCCCGCTGTCCTCCGGCCCCAAACCAAGAGCCACATACTTTGATGGACAGATCTTCCTCACCCAAGGCCACCATGACCTTGATAGGTGGGAGGACAAGGCTGGACTCGTGGCTTTCCACAGTTGCGCGCATGGCATTCTGTGAAGGGAAAGGGGGAAGTGATGAGTGGGAGCGGCCTGGCCCAACCACCCCCAACCCCACAGAGGGAGGGCCATCCCCCGCCCCCTTACCTTGAAGAGTTCAAAAAGCATGTGGTAGAGGTGGGAAGGGACATAGACCATGTGAATTGGCTGTTTGGAGTTGGAGGCTGCGGGGAAAGTCAAGACCAAGGATCAGAAAACTGTCGAGAGGTCACCATTCTGCATTCATTCACTCAGCACCTAGGACCCAGCACTCAACCACCCATCTATCGTCCAACCATCTGCTGGGCCACCCATCGGGCAATTGTTCATCCAGCTGTCCATTCGTTCGGCATCCGTTCAACCATCTATCTATTCATATGGTATCTATCCGTTATAAAATGTCCGTCCATCCATCTGTTCATCCATCCATCCAACCACTGATGTTTAATGGTCAACATTTATGCATTCCTCCAACTACCCATCCAGTGTCCATTCAACCATCCAACTGTCCCTCAACTATGCATCTATTCAAACATCTATCCTTCTCAGTTATCCATGCATTCGGAGGGTACAGACCCATCCTGCCCTTGATCCCCTGTTTATCGAGCCACCCATCCATTCAAGAAGTATCTATCCATCCCATATCCAGCCTCCTAGCATTCACCCGGACACCAGAATCCCTGGGAGTTTTTTTTTTTTTTTTTAATGTTTATTTATTTTTGAGAGAGAGACAGAGCACAAGTGGGGGAGGGGCAGAGAGAGAGGGAGGCACAGAATCCGAAGCAGGCTCCAGGCTCCGAGCTGTCAGCACAGAGCCCGACGCGGGGCTCGAACCCACAAACCACGAGATCATGACCTGGGCCCAAGTTGGATGCTTAACTGACTGAGCCACCCAGCGGCGCCCCCTGGAGAGATTTTTTTAATCCAGTGCGGGGAGGGGAGAGGTGCTACACATGACTCTTAGAACAGCACTCTGCCCCTCAAGAATCGCTCTGGCCTGGAGAGTTTCTTGGTGTCTTTTCCAGGTACCTGGCACAGAGCTTTGTAGCAGGAGCTCAAAAAGTGTGCGGTGGATTACGGAATGAAGGAATCTCAGGCCCTGCGCTGGGCAGTGGGGCATAAAGTTGAATAAAACTCAGCCCTACCATCTTGGAAATTCAAGTCTGGACAAACACACAACTGACTTTCACATTGGGTGTGGTACCCAGAGCTATGTGCCAGGCCCTGAACTTGACCCCAGGGATACTGAAGTAAAGTAGCCTGTCTCTGCCCTTCTATCTTTGTCCCCAAGGAACTCAAACAGAGGTAGGTGGGTGCCTAACTATGTTTTCTAGGAGGTGCAGGAAGGCTTTTCCGAGGACCTGAACTTGAACTGGGCCTTAAGGATGTGGGCAGCATGACTTCCAGGCATGAAATACCTACCTAGGTTTCTGGAACCCAGGTAGGGGACGGCTAAGGAGCAGGTGGGGGAGGGGAAGGGTATAGAAACTTCCAGATCCCTGATTGCCCTTTCTCCTATGCCCCTGATTCATCAGCAGGTCCTGGCCTCTCTATTTCTTTTTATCAAATCTACCCTCTTTTTTTCGTCTCTGCTGCCTTGCCCTCCCATGGATTCCTGCAGTGACCTCCTAACTGGTCTTCCTGAGGTCTCACCCACCCTCTGCAACCTCTAAATATCGTTGCAACGTAAGTCAGACCCTGGCATCGCTGTGTTTCAAATCCTCCGATGGGCTTCCCGCTGCACACAAAATCCCAGCTCCTGTCTGTGGCCATGGGCCCTGCGTGCCCCAGTCTCTGTCTCCAACCCCTTCCCGTCCATCTCACTGGTCCTGCTGGTCCCTGAACACCCCATCCAAAGTAGGACCCTTGCAGCCCCCTTCTTGTATCCCCTCTTGCCTTCCTCTTTTGGTAATAGACACCCCCTCCCCCAAAGTTTTAACGGGCACGTGGCTGCCCAGCTAGACTGAATTCCCAGGCTCCCTGGCAGCCGGGCATGGCCAGGTGACTTAGGGGAGTGACTGTCCACCCCCTGAGCCCTGCCTTCTACAGCTTCTTCCCCTTCTCCAGCTGGAACTGAGACCTCAGGGTGGGTGGCCAGCTCTGACTGCTCTGCCCCAGGGGCTGGAGAGGGGGAAGCCTCTCTTTTAATTAAGCCACTGTTGTCTGGATTCTGGAAGGGCAGCCAAATTGATACCCTATTAAATACACTGCTCCTCGCCACCGCTGTCGCGTGACCTCATCTTGCTTCCTCCCCATCACTTGTCACCATCTGAAATTAGCTTGTTTATTATTTGTTCACTGGCTAACACCCAGCAGCAAGAACGTAGCCTCCACGAGAACAGAGTGCCTCGCCTGGCGTGTTTACTGCCTAATAAATGCTTAATATAAATTAGTAATGATACTGCTAATAATAAGTCAATACTAGCTCTGCTTCTGCCCCATCCAGTGCTTTTCCTTTTTCTCCCCCTGCCCCCAGGTCTTTTCCTGACTCTTCCATATCACCTTCTACTCCGGAGCCCTTAGACAAACACACACACACACACACACACACACACACACACACACACACATGGCCTTGTTCACTCACTATTGATCTCTTGGATCTCCAAGTCAGGGGAGGCCATGTAGTACTTGTCACACAGGAGCTTGGCCATATCATAGGCATCTGAGAGAAGAGAGGGGCCATTTAGGGAATGGGGTGGTCCCGGCAGGCAGCCGGCCCTCTTGGCACTGGCTTGGGCGGTG